AATGAGTTTGGAATCCATCCATTATGTGGGGGCCTTCAATCTTCACAGTATGAATCAACAAAATCAATGAATGTTGGGCTTAATTGGCCAAATTGATTGTATATTATAACTGATTTAATTACTTCATTGTCATTAGAGTAGGGATAAATTTGTCTAAGTCATTTTAGTTTAAAATGACAAGTCTTTCTGTAGAAATGTAGGAGTTTTGGAAGCAGTTGGGGAACAACCTTGTTTGAGATTCAGAATAATGATTGTTTTGGTTGGATAACCCTGACCCTGTTTTCTCTGCCTTGAAACTTTCTCTTTTCTATTGAGGAACCTTCAGAATTTAATTTAATTTAAAAAAAAAAAGTTCCCTGAGACTTTCTGTGAGTATTCAAGTAGTGGATAACATGAATTTTTAAGCTGACATAACAAGTCTTAACATGGCTTCTGATTCATTCCTGACGTAGCTGGGCGTAATACTGGCAATGTTAGAGTATTTGGAAGATAGCACTGCCAGAGAATGTGCCATAAATATAAAAGAGAATAATTAAATTAGATCCTCTCAGGATGAACATGCTAAACTAAGACCAGAGTACATGTACAGTATATTAAAAATAAATACTTGCACTGCACAGACAGTAATTCAGCTGTCATTGAATTCAGTGAAACTTTTCATGCAAACTGATTTTGTTGAAGCTACTCACAAGTGTTAAGTTACTCTCATGCAGAAATGAGTTCACAGAGTCACTGGCATGTTTCTGCGTGGTAGGTGCAATATAACTGGAACCAGCCATTGGATTTGGGTTTTTTTTTAAATTGTGGTTCAGTACCTGACTCAGGTGGCTGGAGATCTCTTTTTGCCTCTGATGTAATGTTGAAGAAGTCATTTCACCATTGTGAAGTTATAAAACTCCCACATTATTTAGGATGACCCAAATGGCATCATGTTAAACAGAACATCAGAATTCATTTTTTAATGGATATCATGAAGAATTTTGTACCAGGCCTTGAGCATCCTGGTCTAGTGGGGAGGTGTCCCTGCCCTTGGCAGTGGGGGTTGAGGCTAGATGATTTGTAAGGTCCATCCCAACTCTTCAATACTATTATTCTATGAGTCTATGATCATGGATTTTGTTTAGGTTGTGGCTATCTTTGTATTTCATTAATAAAATTATTGAACTTTGGCTCAGTGCTTTGTAAGGCCACCCATACAACAGAGAAATGGTTGAGAACTCCAGTCCACTGAATAGAATTCAGTTCCAGATTAAGACCTTTGCATCCAGACATCTCTGTGTGAAATATTAACCTTTGCTACCATTAGAGGTGATGGACGTCTGGCTAAAACACTCAGTAGTGCCTTCAGAATGACCTGAGAAGCTAATGGAGACTGGCTTCAGCCATCTAAACAGAGATATCTAGGACTACTTTTAGATAGTGTGAACCTAGCCTGAGGTTTTCATTCAAGAAAGGTGTGGGTCTCCTCTAAGTCCCTTTGTCATAGCTGCCTGTCAAATATAGATGTCTTAGGCATAGAGTCATGGAATCATAGAATCAACCAGGCTGGAAAGGACCTCAAAGATCATCAAGTTCAACCCTACTGTGGTTACTAGACCATGGCACTAAGTGCCACATCCAGTCTCAGCTTGAAAACCTCCAGGGATGGGGAATCCACCACCTCCCTGGGCAGCACATTCCAATGCCTGAGCACTCTCTCCATAAAAAATCTCTTCCTAATATCCAACCTACCCCTCCCCTGGCAGAGCTTGAGTCTGTGCCCTCTTGTCCTGCTGCTGGTTGCCTGGGAGAAGAGACCAACCCCCACCTGACTCCAACCTCCTGTCAGGGAGTTGCAGAGGGTGAGAAGGTCTCCCCTGAGCCTCCTCTTCTCCAGGCTGAACACCCCCAGCTCCCTCAGCCTCTGCTCATGGCACTTGTGCTCCAGTCCCTTCACCAGCCTCGTTGCTCTGCTCTGGACCTGCTCCAGCCCCTCAATGTCCCTCCTGAGCTGAGGGGCCCAGAACTGAGCACAGGATTTAAGGTGTGGCCTCACCAGCCCTGACATCCTACATCCAGTTGTGGGAGATGACTGTAAGGCAGTTGTATCCTTCTGTCCAGACATGATTCAGTCACCATCATGTGCTTAGTGTCATTCAAAGTGAATGAGGGCATGTAAAACCCCTGTCTGAGGCTAGCAGATGTGTTTAAATTCGGGAGGGAAATATGCCCTTCTGGAGTGGCAGCTGAGACCAGCAGGATACTCTGAAAATGAGGGAGAACTAGGTGTTTGCCTGAGTGATTGAGCTGAGCTCCGTAACTCTAATCTAAGTTGCAATTAACTGCTTTCTGGTTTCACTGAGCACGATGGCTATTGATTGTATTGGAAAGACATTTAGCTCCCGTGAAATTGTTTGAATTTGGGCATGTTAGTGCTGAACTAAATCTTACAATCCTACTTAGGAATAGAATTGAACAGAATAGAATAATTCAGTTAGAAGAGACCTACAACAACTATCTAATCCACCTGCCTGACCACTTCAGGGCTGACCAAAAGTGAAAGCGTTATTTAAATAATAATTTTTATTTCTTTTATAGCACATTCTGTGTCTTCTTCTTTTTTCCCAATATTTTTATTTTCTTTGATAAAGAACAATAAACCACCGCTTTCCAAAATGATGTTTCCAAACATCTCTTTCTGCTATAGCAAAATGAACTGCATCAGTGGCTGTGAGGGAAAGCAATTATGACAAAAAGAGTCTGAATATTCATTTGCTGCTCTTCAGGCACTGAAACTCTGCAGTGCAAAAAGGCCTCAAAATTTAAGATATGCTTGGGCATGAAATTAGTATGGTATCAGGCTTGAATGAAATATTGGTTCCAGGTTGGATGGGGCTTTGAGCAACCTGGTGTAATGGAAGGTGTTCCTGCCATGGCAAGGGGTTGGAACCAGATGATCTTTAAGGTCACTTCCAATCCAACCTATGCTATGACTTGTAACAAATGGGAATATGGTGTTAGGCAGAAAATGCAGTGGTTTAAAAGCACTGAGGACACCGTGCTGGTTCATCTGTATACTCTTGTGATAGATAATGCCAATGAAATTTTATTGGGTAAGGACTTCAGGATCTGGTGCACCATATAAACTCAATAAAGCTCTATAGGAGCATGCCCTGTAAACCACTAGAGATGATTGGGAAGGTTTGCTGGGCATGAGAAGAAGATGAAAAAGCCTTTCCTTGTGCAGTGAGTCCTTGGAATTTAAATGTGTTACCTCACTACCTTCCAAAACGGCCAAAGCACATGTATGGGAAAGTTTCTTTATCAGGTATGGGGAATAATTTTTAACTACATACCTTTTTGAGATATGTAAATAAGTTGCATCTGAATAAATAAAGCAGTTAAATACTTTTGTGTTTAGTGTTGCTCAAACTATTACTTTAAAGGTAAGATGTAAATTTTTGAAGATAACTGTATTTGTAATAATACTTAGAATTTTTCAAAGGCATCTCTGCAATTTCACTGCCATGTTTTAAAAGTCTATAAATAAATCTCAGCCTTCATTTTGTAATGTGTCTTATAGTATGGACTACTCAGGACAGGTGGGACATGGAACTACTGGGGCAGGTCCAGGGGAGGGCAGCAAAGATGTTAGAAGGGACTGGAGCACCTCAGTGATGAGGAAAGGCTGAGGGAGTTGGGGCTGTTCAGTCTCCAGAAGAGATGACTGAGAGGGACCTCATGAATGTATTCAAGTCCATGAATGGGACGTGCCAAGATGATGGAACCAGACTATTCTCAGTGGGAGAAACCAATAAAACAAGAGGTAACAGCAAAAACGAGTGCAGCCTCCACATCCAAGTGCAAATGTCCTGAATATTCCTTCCATGTGGACACAGAAGGCACAGGACAGGGTGTGGG